GTGGTTTTACATTGGAGAGCATTTATTGTGCCGATCCTTGTGTAATTGTGTTTTGAGTACTTCTTGGAGAGCTGGTCTTGTCTGGGGGAATTCCCTCAGTCTTTGCTTATCTGAGAATGTCTTTATTTCTCCTTCATATATGAAGCTTAGTTTTGCAGGGTACCAGATTCTAGGCCGGGCATTATTCTGTTTCAGAAGAGTGCAAAAGGGGCCCCAATCTCTTCTTGCTTGTAGGGTTTCAGTTGAGAAGTCTGGAGTTATTCTCATGGGCTTTCCTTTGTATGTTACTTGTTTCTTTCGCCTTACGGCTAGTGGAAGGGCCTCTTTAGTGGCTATTTTGGTCAATCTGATGACTGAGTGATGTGGTGTCTTCCTATTTTCATTGAATCTCCCTGGGGTCCGTTGAGCTTCTTGTACCTGTATATCTAGATCTTTAGCAAGGCCTGGAAAATTCTCCTCTATTAATTCTTCACATAGCTAATCCAGCCCTTGAGTGTTTTCTTTTTCACCGTCCGGAACCCCTATCACCCTCAGGTTCAGTTTTTTGACATGATCCCACATTTTCTATACGCTTATTTCTTTTCTCTAAGATTTATGCTCAATCTCTGTGACTGACTTATTTAATTGGAAGTTGCCTTCAATCTCTGAGATTCTTTCTTCTGTTTGATCTACCCTGTTCTTGAGGCTTTCCACTGTGTTTTGTAGTTCCCTGAATAAAGTCCTTCATTTCCGGGTTTGATCAGTTTGATTTTTCTTCAATATTTCAATTTCTTTAGTGAATTTTTCTTCCAAGTCCTGGATATTTTTTGTGGTTTCTCTGTGTTGGTCATCAATTTTTTCTTGTGTATCATTGAGTTTTCTTACAATCGATGTTTGAAATTCTTGTACTGTGATTTTAGTATTCTGAGTTTGGTTAATGTCAATTGCTGTAGAGCTGTTGTTCCTCTTTGCGGGTGTCCTTTCCGTTTGATTTTTCATACTTCCAGAGTTCTCTCGCTGGTTCCTTCCCATCTCTATCAGTTGTTCCTTCTTGCCTTTGGATTTTCCTTTGGATAATGACATGCCCTGTTTAGTCTCTGAGCCAGTATTTGGTGTTTGTGGGTGAGACTCAACCATACCCTTTATGATGAATCAGTAGATGCAGTAAAACGGTGTGCAGAATGACCTCCCTGTCAGTAGGTGGCACTTGCCGGGAGGAGCGAACTGCAGTGCTGTCTTTGGGTCCTGTAGCCAGCTCTTGTTCCTATGGAGAGGCCCTCTTCTACCTCGGTTGGTGGGTGGGACCCTGGGACTTCCAGGTGTGTCCTTATTCTCCACCTCAGTGGGGGCAGGTCTGGGAGTGAGTCTGGGTGGGGCTGGGTTGGGTAAGCCGGCCCTCAGACTCCACAGATGCTGTCAGCAGGGGTTGAAGTTGTGTTTTTGCATTTGTGCAAGGCTGGCAGGAGAGGCTGAAATGGCTCCACTCAGCTGAAGTCTGGGCCTGGGGGGTGGGGCTGTCTGAGGACCACACTCTGGAGCAGGTGTCGCTCCCCTCCAGCCTCCCCATCTCCGTGGCCTCTCCTAGGCCTCTGCCAGCAAGCAGGACCTCAGGCCAATGGATCACTCCTGGCTGTGACGTGGGCCGGGAGGTTCCCTACCCAGGATCGCAGCCTGAGCTGGGTGCACAGCCCTCTTTTGGGAGGAGGGTTGCCACTCAGGAATGCTGATCTGTCCCCTGAAGGCACACACTCCTCAGTAGGCTCTTTCACAGATCTCCCTTCTGTGCCCCAGGATAGTGCGATTGTGACCTGGGTGTACAGGGTCTGGTCTGCAGGCCTATCCCCTGGGCCCTGGAGATCAATCCCTGACCCTGCCTGGGGGAGGGGTGCTGGTCTCGAATCACCTATAGGGTGCCCAACCTGGATGGATTTCACTCCACCTCGGGATATGACCCGCTCTCCTGGAGTCACCAGGCAAGCAGCACCTGGGAGGGCTGGCGGGTAGGGAACTCGCAGTCTGAGTACCCCTCAGTCTGCTGAAGGACCTGGAAAGGAAAGGTCCCGTTCCTTGGAGATGCCTCTGTGTGATGGCTAAATTGTCTCTCTGCCACCCACGGGTAGGGAAGGAGAAGGTAAGAATGGAGCAATATGGTGTCTGCCAATTGGCTCGGGTCTGCGTGCCGAGAGGTGCCCCGAGGGAGCTGGGAGCCCAGCGCCGTATCCACAAGAGGCCACCACTCACTGCCGGCAGCCGTCTCTGGGCTGGTGATGGCAGGTCTCTCCAGCTGCTCAGGAGCCCACCCACAGTCCGAGATGCAAGGGTGGGGAAAGGTCTCTGCTCCACCTACCCTTTTCTCTGGTCTCCAAGCCTCTCGGGGACCTTTCTCCTTCCAGCTCTCCTCCGCAACGTCTTCCCGTGGAGTCTCCTGTAATTTCAGGCACCCTTCCCTCTGACCATCACCTGATCTATGTATCTCTGCTAGTCAATTTTTTTCACTTTCTTCTAAAATCTGTCTTATTTTGCAGAGATACTCTGACTGGTGGTTTTTCTCGTCTGCCACGTTGGCTCCTCCCCACCCCCCGCAACGCGGTTCTGAGACTTGGGAGGCCGCAGTAGAGTAGGCGAGCTGACATGTGCGCTCCCTTTTGCTTTAGGCTCTCAGGAAGGTGATGGCTTGATAAAAGTGGGCAGGTCCTCCTTCAGCAGGGAGGATACACGAACTTTAAAAACAGTTCGACTGAGGAAGCTGAGGTAGAGAGTCCCGCCAAATTTGTTTGCAGCTTTCCAAGGACCCACATATGTAGGTCAGGGGAATATGAGTTCTGTTTTCCTCTTTGATGATATCAGGGAGTTGAGGGCTTTGGCCTGGTTGGGGGAGGGGCGATCCATGCCATTTAGGGAATCAAAAGCAGACCGCTGAATGATTTATGAAGGGACCACAGATCTCAGAAGAGTGAGGTGGCACAGCGCCTGCCCCTGCCGGTATCAGTCTGACTTTTGCCAGGACGGTCTCAGAAATGCGAGGGCCTTGGTCTGAGGAAAGGGTCCTCAAGTCGGAGAAAGGAAAGCATTCCGGGTGTAGCCAGGATTCAAGGTGAAACTCTACGTGAGGACTTAGGGAAGCCCCACCCAGCTGGCAACCTGGAATGCGTGTGCACTGGTGACGTGATTCACACTCATTGCCTGCTATGGTATGGGGGAAGGTCGATGAGGGATTTTTCCTAAAGCAGGGGTCCCCAACCTATGGTGAGTTGTATAATTATTTCTTTATATATTACAATGTAATAATAATAGAAATGAAGTGCAAAATAAATTTAATGCGCTTGAATCATCCTCAAACCATCCATCACCTCCCTGGTCTATGGAAAAATTGACTTCCATGAAAACAGTCCCTAGTGCCAAAATGGTTGGGATCGCTGCTCTAAAGGGTATGGCCTAAGGTTTGTAGTATCAGGATTCACAGGTATTTCCCTGAGTTAAGGTGAAGACCATGGTGTCAGAGGGGAACACTGACAATGATGGATCCACAGAATCCATTTGGCCTTATTCTCAGCCTTGGGAGATCCTAGGCAGGTAAGGTGGTCCTCACATCCTCCTTGGGGGTCTCAAGGGATACTGGTAGGAAGAGAGAAGTCCCAGGCCCATGCCAAGGGTCAAAGGATGGTTCGAGGGGACCATCCACCATTTAATAGATAACAAAGAATCTGAGCCCCACCCTTGCATTCAGCACTTGAAGGACCGAGGCAGGATTGTTAGGCTGAGGCTCTCCTTCACTTCTTTATATAAAATCTAAGGGAGGTGAAATATTTGGCGTGAGGTTGCAGCCACCATTCAGCAAAAGGGAGGTGTCACAGGCGCTACCTGGGATCAAGTGAGTTCCCTGAATAAGAACTGAATACCAAGGAGCCCATAACAGAGAGCGCTTCACATAGTCAGGTGCCCCTTGACAGGGATGGTGGGCAGAGAAGCTCCTTCACTTCCTCCTCTGGGATCTCAGGGAGGTGCTGCCTTTGGTGTGAGGTGTGGACTTCAGAGCAGCAGAAGAGAGGGGGCTCAGGACCTGCCAACAGTTGACGTGATGGCTACGATTGTGAACTGAGAGGACTCCCACACCCCAAATGAGAGGGCCCCATTACTAGCCATTGCCACCACCCCAGTACACCCCAGGCAGGGATGTTAGGATGCAGCCTAAACCTCTCTCTAATATCCTCCAGAGAATTCTCAGGGGACAGGCCGACCAGGAGAACAGGAGCCCTGGGTTTTCTTACAGAAGTGCTCTAGGAAACCTACAGAGGCGGCATTGGTTAAAGCCAAGGTGGTCTCTCCTTGCTGATGGAGCTCACACCATCTCATTCTCCCTCCCCCAGGTGCCTGCATCACCAGCTGCCCTGCTCATATTTTCTTCTACGATCCCTAACCAAAGTCATCATGCCTCGGGGTCAGAAGAGTAAGCTCCAGGCTCGTGAGAAACGACACCAGGCCCGATGTAAGAGTCACGATACAGGGGGTGCTCAGGCAACCGCAGCAGCAGCAGCAGCAAAAGAGTCCCCTCCAGAAGAGTCCCCTCCAGAAGAGTCCCCTCCCTCTCCATCTCTTTCTGAAGGTGTTACTGAGAGCCTGCCTGTTGCTGAGTCATGTAGCACTTCTCAGGAGCCTCAGGAAACTCCATCCACTACCACTACTTCTGAAGTCATTTCTTGCACTAGATCTGATGAAGATTCCAATGTCCAAGATGAGACAAAGGAAAGCAATGCTGAGGCCTCACCCTGCAGTGAGAAATCATGCAACGATCCTCTAGCCAGTAACATTAAGGTGTTGGAGCAGTTCCTGCTCTTCAAGTACAAAACGAAGCAGCCCATTTTGAAGGCAGACATGCTGAAGGTTGTCAGCTGGAGGTACAAAGACCACTTTCCTGAGATCTTCAAGAAAGCCTGTGAGCACATTGAGTTGGTCTTTGCAGTTGATGTGCAGGAAATCGACTCAACCCGTCAGTTGTATGACCTTGTGAGCAAGCTGAAACTCCCCAACAAAGGGAGGGTGCGTGCTGGCAGGGGCTTACCCAAGGGCGGTCTCCTGATGAATATCTTAGGTATGATCTTCATGAAGGACAACTGCGCCACTGAGGAAGACGTCTGGAGATACCTAAGTATGATGCGAATATATGCGGGAAGGAAGCACTTCGTCTATGGGGAGCCCAAGAAGCTCATCACTAAAGATTTTGTGAGGCTGAAGTACCTGGAGTACCGCCAGGTCCCTGACAGCGATCCTGCATGCTATGAATTCCTGTGGGGTCCCAGAGCCCATGCTGAAACTAGCAAGATGGAAGTCCTGAAATTTTTGGCCAAGATCAATGAGACCGAGCCCAGTGCCTTCCCATCTCAGTATGAAGAGGCTTTGCGAGATGAGGAAACAAGAGCCCAAGCCCAAACCGTAGGTGTAGCCAAGCGTGGTGCTACTGCCAAAGCTTGTGCACTGTGCAAGGCCATGCGTTCAGTATATCTTTCTGCCCCTATTGATGTCTGAGTCTTTTGTATCATCCAGATAAGAAAATATGACATCGTAATAGGTATTTCTCGGAAATATAAAAGAGCCCCACAGTAAAATATTACATAAGTGGGGTAATATGATGGAGAAAATATATTAAAACATGAGCATTCCTTCATTTCTTCTTTCCCTAATTCCTTTCAGCGTTTCATTCTGTAAAATTAAGTGGTTTATAGTTTGTTTTTCTTAGCTTTTTCAAGAAAGTAGGAGAAATTAAATGTTAATAAATTAGACCTTGTGTTTACTGACTCTTGTATTCACCGAACGTTAATTGAACATCTGCTCTTTGGAAAGCTCTATGCTAGTACTGGAGATCCTCAGAAAAAGAAGACTCAGGCCCTGCTCATAGAAATTTTGAGCTTACGTGCTGCAGTCATGCAACTAAGATGTTGAATTACCCTTTGTGGTTTATAGGTAAAGTAAAAAGAATGAGTGAGGATCAGGGTGTTCCTTGTGAGAGCAGTCAAGTGAGAACTTCCTGAGCAAGTCAGCTTAGGGTTTTGGGAAACTGCAAGTCCTTAGTGGGATATAATTTTGGTTTAAACTAGTGGGCTAATTGAGGCTGTGAAGGTGATAAGTAGCAGCCAAACCCGCAGATGTGCTTCAGAGTTGAGAAACAAAACTCTGCGAGTTAGTCTTGGGCTCCTGTAACAAAATACCACAGACTGCATGGCCTAAACAACAGAAATTTATTTCTCACAGTTCTGGAGGCTGGGAATTCCAAGATCAAGGTGCAAGCAGATTCCATTCCCGATGAGGGTACCCTTCCTGGGTTGTAGAAATTCAGCTTTTCTCTGTGTCTTCACATGGAAGGGAGGGAGGGAGAGAGAGAGAGAGAGAGTGCGCATGCATGCTCTAGTCTCTCTTCCTCTTAAAGGAATGCTAATCCCCACATGGGGCCCCCACCCTCATAACATCCACTAAACCTAAGTACCTCTCAAAGGACCCCCCTTCAAATGCCATCACATTGGGGGTTGGGTTTCAGCATATAAATTGGGAGGGGGGCACAAATGTTCAGTGCATAATGGAAAACTACTCCCACAAATTACTTTGGGAGTATGGGTAAACAAGAAACAAGTCTCCACCTGGGCAGGAAAGCAAGGTATCTTGTGCTCTGATTCCAGTGCAGATGAACACAGTTTGCAAACTAGTTGTTCCATGCACATGTTCTCCGAGGAATTTCTGAGAAATAAGGATGATGATCCCTTGAGGTTAGATGCATAGAAGCCATTATGTTGGTATTTTTTGCCGTGAAATTAGCTAGATCCTACTGCATTCAAAGGGCATTTTAATTAGGTGATCTTGAGTGTAATTTGGCAAACTCTAAACAAGGGATAGATTGTGTTCGTTAAGGGTATAATAAATGTAAATAAAGATGATCTCGATGGAAGGGCACTTGGGAGGCATGAAAGGACATGTGCCTTAACATCAATTTTAGGAGCTTGAGTTACATCTAACTAGGGAAGACAACGCCACACCCAGGTTTAAGACTAAGAGTTTTTTTATTTTTAAACAAATTGAAAGACCCTCAGTATTTTCTTTTTACTATAGAGCAAGGTAATATGGCGTTGTTACAGTATTTTCATGGAAATGTGAAAGAACTCCACTGGAAAATAGTTGAGATCACAAAATGATGAAACAGATGTGAAATGGTTTACTTGTAGTTTTCTTATAGAGAAGTAACCTCTGATTATATCTTTTTCTTTCTGTGTTTTTTTTTTTTCAAGGTGGTTCGTTTTATTTAAAGGTTTATTTTGCTTCAAATTATAAATTTATCAATGACCTGAATCTTGCATGTATTGCTCTTCAACAGTTACAGTTGAAAGTTACAGTTTGGGTATTTATAATACAAATTCACAAACCATTCATATTTTCTTTATGCTTCTGAACTAGATAACCTGTTAATTGAATAGGGCTTTTCATGGAAATGTGAGAGTACCCCACCGTAAAATAGTTGGCATCATATTTTGTAGAACAAAATAGTAAAAACAGAAATGTAAAAGTTGTTTAATTCTTGGTTTCCCTCATTTCTTTGAGTATTCTTTTAATATAAATAAAGAAGCCCTGGATTTATTTAGTTTGGTCAAATGTGTATGTTGTTTGTTTTGTTTTAGTGTTCTGTATATTATATACTATCTACTGGGCAAAAAAAGAAAAAAAGAAGAAAAAAAACAAACCTCCGATTGGAGGGTGGTATTTTCTGAATTTAAAATAATCATATGAGATGCAGTGATCAGTGTGCTCCTGAACGAGTTTACTAAGAATATTTTTAAAACAAGGCTGCTAAATTTAAGGCACTTTCACAAGCTCAAGCTGTCTCAAATGTTTGCAAGATACATGACAATTATCTTTTATATTATATAATTAGAAATATTAAAAATAATATCACATAAAATAGAATAATATAATCATATCATAACTTTCATTTATTAAAAACCCAACTTTTCCTAATCAGGATGTCATGTGCTTTACGTATAGTACATAAATTCCCATATTCTTACAAGATAAGACTTAACGGATTCCACAAATGAATAACTTGAAAATTTCTCAAGTTCACAGGCCTTTAATTGATAGAGTTGGGAGTGGACCCCTGGTCTGGATTTATCTAGAGCCCACATTTTTCCAGTCCTCCCAGCCTGAGCCACACTCTTTGTCTTGTGATTCATTTTTCTTCTCACTGCTCCAAAATGTGTATGGAGAATAAAAAGGACCCTGTACCCAAAGCACTATTTTGGAATATACAGATAGAATATTAATAATGCTGAATAAATGGGTGAGATGAATAAAGAAAAGAAAAAAATAATATTTAGTGACAGTATGATCATCTACATATGCAGTGTCACATAACCTGAAATGATCGGGAGTTCATAAAATTATCTTGCTGTGCTCTTTCCCTATAGAAAGCAAATCTATTCAAAGAAAAGTTACATAGTAGTCTAAGTCTGGCTGGTGAAGCAAAGGAATAAATCACCATTTTTTTTTCTGACAGCCCACCACCGGTCCTGGGCCTCCTGCCTTGTGTTACTGCTTCCCCATCTCACATGGAGCCTTGGACAGGAAACTATTCTCTGCAAGATTTGCAGTAGGGAACCTGCTCAACTGTTTGCAGGTGTGTGACATTTCCCAGCAGCATTTAATCAAAGAGAAAGGAGGCAAAATGAGGACTCCCGTAAATGAGGATTCTGGAGACCAATGCCCCAGAATATAAAGGTCACCGAGAGACCAGTTCCTGTCTACTCTCAGACCTCGAGGGCCCCAGGCAGAGCTATAAACTGAGATTCCCATTTATTCTTCAAGATTGTCAGGGACATAAGAGATGTGGTCTAAGGGTGGCACGCTCAGGTAAGTGGGAGGGGGATCTCAGCCTCTGAAAAATATCAAGGTTAGAACCTCAAATGAGGAATGAGAAACTGCCCACCCAGAAGAATAGGGACTCTATAAAGTATATCTTGTTTTCTGCCTTGGATGGCTATAAGCACCCCGAGAGCTATCTGACCCAGGTGCCCCCTCATTTCCTCTATGGTCCCTACTGGTGTTTCAAGGGAGATGAGGGCATTGATCTTGTGGCAGTAGCTCCAATTCTGCCTAAGTAGGAGATCTTAGCAAGCTCTGATTAAATTTAAGGTGAGGACAATGAGTGCTGATGATTCCCCCCATAACAGAGAGGGCCACACAGAGGCACCAGGCAGGGATAGCCAAGGAGTAGCACCCTGAATTCCCCCTCTGGTTTCTCAGTAAGCATAATGCTTTCATCCGAGGTGAGCAGGCTCAGGTCAGCAGAGGGAGAAGTCCCACGTCTCACCCTAAGTCAAGGTTAGAAACCTGGCTGAGAACTGAGGGAGCCACTGATTCTAAAAGAGTAGAGTCTCATAGAATTCTCATCCTGCTATCGTCCCTCAGAACACCCTCAACTGTGGCCATATATGGCTGTTCCTGACTTCCAATTCAGAAATTCCAAGAAGGTGATGGCCTTGGTCTGAGGACTGTGACCTCGGGTCAGTGGAGGTTAGAGTTCCAAGTCTGGTCAGGGTTTAAGGTGAGGACCCTGAGGGAGGATAGAGGGGACCACTCACCCAGAACAGAGGGGACGCACAGTGTCCTGCCCCTGCTGTCAGTCCTAGGAGGCCCAGGGCAGACCTATCGGACTGAAGTGCCCCTCATTTCCACTGGGAGTGGTCTCAGGGAGGTGTGGGCCTTGTTCTGATTGGAACAGCCCCATTCAGCAGAGGGTAGAAAATTAGTCCCTAACAAGAGTCAGGTTAATGACCCTAAATGAGGATGGTGGCAACCCTCCCAGGACAGATGGAGCCACATGGAGTCCTGCCACTGATATGTCCCCTTATCAAACCTGGGAATTTTGGCATGCTGAATTCTACTCATTTCCTTTTAGGGCATCTCAGGGAGTTGAGGCACTTGGTCAAAGAGTCTGGCCTCAGGTTAATGCAGTGGGCAATTCCAGATCATGCCAAGAATCAAGCCGAGGACCCCAAGGACTGAAGGAACCACTCAAATCATAACAACAAGAACAGCACAAAATCCCTCCCTTCTGTCAGCCATGGGTGACCACAAGCAGTTATGCCCAGATGAGGCAACACTTACATCCTTCTAGGTGGTCTCAGGGAACTGAAGCCTTCAGTGTGAGGGGATAGGCCTCTAGGTCATGGGAATATTCAGTATGAGGACCCTGAGTGAGGAGTGAGGGGAGCAACCAACCCAGAAGAGAGAGGAACCCACAAAGTCCTTATTTCAGCCCTGGGAAGCCCCAGGCAGGGGTGAGCAGATGTGTCGTCACCACTCACTTCTAGCTCTGGAAGACTTTCAGGTCACTAAAGGGAGGAGTCAGAGATCCTGAGTGAATGAGAAGTCAAGGGATCACCAACCCCAAAACAGTGGAGTCTCACAGAGTCTTGCCCCTGCTGTCAGTTCTCAGAATACCCAAACAGATGTGGCCAGATCACTCTAACTTCCACTTCTGGGGA